TACTGATCATCACAGCTGAGAGCCTCTGAATAAGGAATTAATACCACCCCGGCCTATATCCCAGTCTGTTCGCGACAAGTTATCTATCCATCACATGTGACTGCGGATTAGAATTACAGTGCTGTATACTGAATACTCCAGCCAGTCTGATGTACTGGATAAACATCCGATATATTCATATTTTCGGGCTAAAGTAAAATAGGTTCTTCAAAAGAAAGTAAGCAGAGATATGGCCTTACCAGGTCATAGAACTCCAACAGAGCTGAACAATGTATACATCCTCTGTTTCTGTGGTCCATACGCGCCCGAATTCAGCTCCGATCCAGCCGCACCGGTTAACAGGTTGACAACGCGTCCACCCTTTTTAGGCATGGTGCATAGATATAGACACCCAGGACATATCACATGACGTGGGGCACTGCGACAGAGTCCCGGTCTATATCTCGCCAATCTTAAATTAGATTTGTCAGAGGCAACCTTTAGTGCCGTGCACACTGGTATACGTAAGGTGTATCTGACGTGTTCTCTTACGGACTGCTTCCAGCTTGGAAATCACACCTCCGATAAGAGGTTGTCGTTTCCTTTCCTTCTCCCAGTTATATCTCTCAAATGGCAACCTACACTCGGATTTCAGGGAGATGGAAGAGTTGGGATTTAGACTCGAGCATGGGGTTATGGGTCGTTTGAGTAGATTGTTCGGACCCCCCGCTCGAGCTAAAAAAGCATGTCAGTGGCGAACGCCAGGAAACTCTTATGATGAAGCTATCTGAAGAGATTAGATCGATTTGAGCAAGTAGAGGATGGACACATTTCCTACTCTTGGTAGTAAAACTAAGAAATCTCTTTTCCTGAGCAGTTAAACCCGATTGGCCTTGGTCGTGTGCTTATGAAGATGGCTACGATGGACGGCTCAAGATGCATGCAACTTAATCTATTTCCAATTTTATTACTTCATATCGAGAAAGTGATTTACACTGAAGGATATCTGGCCCGAGTTTAAGAAAGTCAACTAAGAACAGAAATTCATGTCGAGATCACCTCCCGCTTGACAGTTCGTACACTTTGATAAATATGTGGTCTAACTCGTGTATGTTAGAAGATATGTCTTCTTGCTCCTCAGGATTACATTCTGTGAGCTGCTTTTTTGGTGTCCTCTCTCTTCTAAAGTCATCGAAACTTTCATACAAGAAAGGTCTCCATGGTTTTCATATCTTGAAATTAAACAATCTAATCTTACGGGAATAGTTGAATTCAGATAGAAAATAAAATGTACTGTATCTTGACACACTCTTTTCCAGAGCACTTACCATTTAATCTTATTACGACAACTTTCTTCCCCTCCCATGCGCCGGCTCTCCAACATACCCAAAGAGGGGCTGCTGACTGCATATAAATTAACAGAATAGGACGTCTAACAATATAAGTATAGTCGCTCGAAGTGCAGATGAATATATGACGAACATTCATTTCCCCGTCACCATGCTACCGATCGCGACCAGTCCCTCCTTGTCAAAGAGAAACCCGTTCTCCTGCCAAAGGGGCAGTACACAACGTGCTAAGCCGGTGGTATTGTATCTTCAAATCTATCATTGAACATTACGACAACCACCTGGCAACACCGAACCTTCTCCCAATTTGTTGAAGTAACCTAGTAATGAAGCCGACCAGGGTCCATCATACTGCATTCTTATGGTTTTCCCAAGCTTCTTACAGTGTTGACTCGTTATAACCTACCTGGGACAAAAGGTAATATTAAACCTATAAATAGTTGCAAATAGGTAAGGTATTCGTATTTAACACTAAACAAGACCCGCTTTACCGCTGGGGGCCAAAGCCATGAGCCCCACAGCTGTAACAAGATTAGAGTTTAGAATGTGCGGCCCCGCTGAGTCCCACAATTCAAACCAAGGTTAAGCTTAATTTGTGGATATAGCGCTTGGATTGCTTGGCACGCAGCGTTTTAGAGTCCTGTTCCCTAGAACACTTTGAGCAATAGTTGGATTTAACGTGACCAAAGGCATGTTTCATTGGCGATGCAAACGGATTCACTCATTCTAAACCTTTCTCGACCGTTCCAGGTATAAAAGGTTCAGAGGCGTGGCCTGTTGTATGGTAAAAACCTCTTAATGAAAATTGGGGTCACGAAGGCTTTTCATCACGACTTCACTTGACTGATTCAAACTGTCATTGGCATTTCCACGTAATTCTCAACATCTCTTTACTGTACACACTAAGCATCATTTTCCAAGATGTATACCATAGCATCGAGCGCCATCAGAAACCACCACCCAGAGAGCATGGAGAAGCTTGTTACACCCCGTAATAGTGGTTCTTCACTTCGACAATTGTACATTACAATAACAATATACACAAATACTCATACCTATCGCTAATATCAAAGATCCTGTCCGTAAAATAGAATACAAAAGCACCGTGGGGTATTGGGCCTGTCATACCATGTTTACCACACATAATCCGACGTCAGCCTCCCAACTCCGCAGGGGCCATAGACCCTTGACCAGGACGAACCTTTGTCGGTGGAAGTTCTGCAATCGGGACAGGCTGCCAAACTGGTTGATACATGGGGGGCTGTCTTGGGACTGGAGCAGGGAGTTCAGCCGGCAGTTCAGCAGGAGCTCGGTGCTTTCGGTACTTAAAGAAATATAACGCGACTAGTAACGCTATCACGCCGATTGCACCAACTCCTACCCCTACACCAATGCCTACTTTGGCGCTTATTGTGAGATCACCGTTTGTCGATGAGGTGGTGATACTGGTGGTTGTCTCGGAGGAGGCGCTGCGGGTGCCGGAGGTCGTTGTTGACGTGGCTGTGGGTGTCGAAGTGGGAGTTGGGGTCGCGAATCTGATGTTCCATCCAACCACGGCAATTGCGCCAACCGTTGAGCTTTTGGATACCGTGGTGGTCTCTGTTTTCCAGGCAGTTTTGTCGCTATAAGGGGCTGATGCGTAAGTAAGGGTCATACCGGAGGAGACGTCGGATAGGCAGTCTCCATTGACTTTACCTGGCGTTCTATTTGCCAGATAATATCCTCTGAAGTGACGTGTCAGATGACACTGTCCATCTAGAAAATCAAGCGATGCATCAACTCACGAAGGACAGCACATGGCTAGCGTGCTAGAACCATTTTTGACAGAAGACGCAACGGTGGAGAAGTTCTCGGGGCATGTGAGAGGGCCAATGCTGACTGCTGTATGCTCGGAACCTCCACCACCTAACGCTCCTTGCTCCCACCAGGTTGTTACCGCTGGGGGTGCACATCTCACATTCGTATCAATATCTAGTCCGTAGCCAGGGTCCCAGGCTACTAGACTTGGTCCATTCAAGCGAAAGTAACTTGCACATCCTGAAGGGGGGAGCCACGCTGTGGTGAGAGGAATAAATGATGTGACTGTGCCATCGCTCGTCTCAGCTGGATACAGCGTGACCGACATTCGGCCTGGGTCACGCAGATGCCTTCTCCCAGAACACTGTCGTGGACTATCCGTTGAGTGGACGTGCGAAGAGAAATTATTTGCTGTTGTGGATGACTTATGGCAGACTTTTAAAGTCAAAATTGGCTCAGGAAGTCATACTCCGAACGGGATATAGTATATAACATCAGCGCGGAAGGGGTTACCAGGCTGACAGGTATCAACAAAAGGGGGGCGGGGGCTTATCGGGTCAGAAAATAAAGAAAATAGTCGTCTCAATGCCAGGCGGCTAGAAAGCTCTTTTGGAGAGTCAGAGATCCCTCGATTGAGCCTAGTTTTCTTAGACCGGTATAGAGCCAATGCGGTGCAGGCGCTACACGTCTCTCGGTGCTGTTTCTACTAATATCTCAGGTGCGACAACATAGTCCAATGATCGACAAAAGACCCAAAACCAGGGGAAAACCCTTGTCACGCCACAGTAACACTAGGGCTAAGTGCCAATCACATCCAAGCATATTGGACACTCGGTAAAATGGTAGAGTGGGACAAGTCCCTCGGCGTTCATTCCTTCGGTTGTTCTGTTTGTTTCCTACTCCACAGGCCCCTATTTGACTGCCCCAAGCCCCAATCCCTCCCATCAGACATCCAGTCAGAAATAATGTCATCAAAGGTTGTTCGGCGGAAGCAAAAGCGTGTACAGTCACAGAAACCCAGAGCTTCTCGATGGTGTCCTTCGCTTGGCTTGAGCTGGAGTGGTAAATGTGTATTTACCAGCTTACTAGCCCTAATAATAGGAAGACACGTTCAAACCAGAAGCTGGGGAACGTCTTTGGACTTTCTTCGACCCATCGACAAAGACAGATATTGGTCTAGTCACCGGTAGAAGGTCAAAGACTCTTTCGTGATTAGTTGGGATGCTTACGCTAAGTATGCCTGGGGTAGGTTTTCTCCTGATATATGCTTCGTCGTGTTGTCTCAACAGTATCTGGAAAGGCCAGTGGACCAACTTGCGCGAATAAATATCACTGATGCCTCGAACAGGGCAGGATCGCTTTCATCCCATCTCTAAAACTGGGTCACAAATGAGCCCCAGCGGTCTAGGATGGATCATCGTCGACAGCCTAGATACATTGATGATTATGAATCTGACCACGCAGATTTCCGACGCCCGCAAGTGGCTTAATCGTGACTTGACTTATAATCAAGATCAGGATGTGAACACTTTTTAGATGACCATCCGCATGCTTGGGGGGCTCCTGTCTGCTCATTACTTGTCCACTGTGCTTCCAGACGTTTCCTCCCGCCGGGACTATATATATCTGTCCAGAGCTGTCGATCTAGCGGATCGGCTGCTTGGTGCATATGACTCCCCATCAGGGATCCCATATGCCAGCGTTAATATTGGGACCGGAAAAGGCCTTCCTCTCATGCAGATGGTGGCGCTTCATCTACGGCTGAAGTCACCACACTCCAACTGGAGATGAAATATCTAGCCCACCTTACCGGTAAAGAGGTATACTGGCGTAAGGCTGAACACGTCATGAAGGTTATATATAGATGACCATCGCATGCAGGGTGGCCTTCTCCCAATCTTTGTGCACCCAGATACTGGATACTTCAGGTACAAAGAAATTCGTCTTGGAAGTCGCGGGGATTCATACTATGGTATACTCTCATGGCAACCCTTTAATTGGAAGAGGAAGGGGCTGATTTGAATACAGAATACTTAATCAAACAATATTTGCAGACTTCCGGACAGGAACCAGTTTACCGTGAGATGTGGGAAGAAGCATTGGCCGGGATACAAAAGCATTTAGTGACCTGTACAAAGCATTCAAAGCTTCAGTTTATTGCTGAGCTGCCACATGGCATAGGTGGACCATTATCCCCTAAGATGGATCATCTTGTCTGCTTCTTACCGGGCTCCATCGCGATCGGCGCGACTGAAGGACTGACTGAGAAGGAGGCGCGAAATCTACCCGGCTGGAATTCTCAGAAAGAGCAACAGATGCAACTGGCACGGGAGCTTATGAAAACATGCTGGGCGATGTATGCAGTCACGGCCTCTGGTCTAGCTCCGGAGATTACCTGGTTTGAGGTCGACGAGGCCGATATAGGACCATCATCTCGTTCACCTCCCATGGCTAGAAGTAACAACGACAAGTCCTCTTGGGAGCAAGACTTGAATATCAAACCTCTGGATGAACATAACCTGCAGCGACCAGAAACGGTTGAGAGTCTTTTCTTGATGTATCGTGTGACCAACGATCCCATCTACCGAAAGTGGGGATGGGAGATCTTCAAGGCGTTCAAGGAACACATGGTAGTGAAAGATGGCGAAGGATACACATCCTTGCAGGATGTCACCAAGGTCCCCACACCACAACGTGATAATATGGAAAGCTTTTGGCTGGTAAGACGCACAATCTCCGGCCATAGCCCGTGGAGTTCGGAGTTAGGTAGTACTAACTCATTATAGGCCGAGACCTTGAAGTATTTATATCTCCTTTTCTCTCCAAAGGAATTTCTCCCGCTCACTGAAGTGGTTTTCAACACCGAAGCCCATGTGCTACCCCGGTTTAATCAGATCAAATTCCAGAGAGGCTGGAACCGTCGGGAACTTTGATGTCTTGGAGCAAACCTTAGTGACCACCGATGTGAATGATATCGAAATATAAGCAATAGTATGGTATTCTGTGTTTTGGTCTTCTTTTTCTGTGTTGCCCTTTCCTCGTTTCATCTCATTTTGGAATATTTGCTATGCCCTGTTCAAGATGAGTTACTAAGTTAGTCTGTTTGTTACAATCGTCACACAATGTATACAGCATGATTGGCACGGATATGCCTTGAGAAGAGAATTTTTGGACCAAAAGAATCTAGCCATCAGTCAACGCCGGCACCTTGATATCCGGTTTCTCAAAAACGGCCTTCCAGTGGGCCCGGACGGTGTCACAAAGTCCACTTTTAGACTTCCAAGTCTCAAAGCCGGATTCCATTGTGCACGCTACAGACATAGTCTCCTCCCAGAATATACGCTCAGCATCAAACCCAAGCCGCCTCATAGCCTCTGGTGGATAAGTCCACAGCCTTGTTGGACTTCCATCAAACCCCTGCAGCTTCGGCCCCAGAAGCTCCTTCCCTGGGTTGAATTCTGGAGCACCAGCATGAATAAAGTAGACACGAGGCGGCTTCGCCACGGACGGATCCCGGACTCGCCATTTCCCTTGGCTTGTCAGATCATAGTCCTGGATCGGATCTGCTTGGGCGTATCCTGCATTGATCGCGGCCTGGGAATTTCCGGGCTTCAGATTTCCGAGATCAACCACGGTCTCACTGACGGCGTAAAAGCTCTGGTTTAGAGCAATCGCCGCGTGGAGGAAGGTGTCTTTGTCGCCTGCGCCCGGTGCGCCTTGCCCGAGTAGCGAGTAATAGTAGTTAGGTCCATAGTAATTATAGTACGCAGCAAGGAGCAAGCTGCGGGTATGAGTTGACTTGGAGACAAACATTATCCCGGCTTCGGTAGCTTGTCGGGTTGTAGAAGGGGGTTCGGGCTGACGCGAAATGTTGAAATATACCGGGGCGGCTGTGTTGGCCCAGAAGTCTGGCCAGGTGACCAGGCCGGTGGATGCGAAAGGTTCAGACTGGAGGAGTGCCATGGGGTCATGCAGAGGAACGCAGTCGGCATCCAGCCATAGGAACTTCTCAAAAGAAGAGAAAAGCATGGCGAAGGACTTGATCTGAAACCCTTCTATGGGCTGGATGCTCTTGGTCTCATTCCAATCTGCCAGTATCTCAGAGAGCACCAAGCACTTTGCCCCCAGCTGGGGTAAAACCACCTCGCAAATATGCCCTTCATACTCTGTCCGATCCTTCATGAAGAGTTCCACTGGCAAAGTCGATCCCGTCCGGCGCAGCAACGATAGAGACACCACGAAAGTAGGCAAATATGTGCCTCCGGCCGATGACACTATGCCTACTGTTCCCGGAGCGAAAGCATCACCGATGTCTAAATTCTGGATGGCCTGAACAAAGCCATCGTGGGCTGATTGCATGGGCTGTAGTATTTCATCCACGTTGGTAAGGAGATTTGGGCGAGGGGTCTCGTGTATTGCGTCAAATCGTGGGAGACCTGGGCTGCCGTTCTGGATCGGTTTGGGACAATCGGGCACATACTTTTTCAGTAAAGGATGCAGATGCTGCCATAAGCGAGACCGTCTCTCTTGTAGTGGACGTACTAGATTTGGAGGCTCCTTATGCCAGAAATAATATACACTAAGGAGGCAGAAAGCGGCCAGGAAGGCCGCAACGATGGTTCTGCGACGGGACAACATTCTGCCGGAGGAGCTGAGGCATGGACAGAACCCAGGAAAGACGCGACCAGAGAGAGGGAAATCATAAGGAGGCTGAAGTGACAGGGGACCGTGTGTTATATCACACGCTAAACACGTCTTGTTGTTGACCGGTGCAAGCGTAGACGCCTGTGGCTGATCACCTCGGTCTCCGTTCTTGTTTCTGATAGGGTTCAGTCCCACCCTAGGAAGCAACGATGCTCTCCCGAAAGCTTCGGCCTGTCCGCTATAATTCAATTAATTTGCTCTCAATGTAAACCCCAAATGCTGCTCAGCCGGAAGATCTCCTATGCCAGACTTATCATCAGTCAGACAGAATTCCCTAGGCAATAAAATATGTATATCTATTTGACCATTGAGACTTTCTAAAGAACTAATAAATTGAGGTAATAAATACTTACATATATATATGTTATAGCTGTGTAGAAACACCCTTCAACATAAGGATATTTAAGCATACAGCTACCAGATAAAGATATTGCGAAATGTGCTTTTAAAAACATCGAGGTGTACTGTAAAACGAAGATTCAAGGGAAGCTTTTGAGGTAGAAATATACCTCCGTCCTGAACCCGCAAAGGCTTTAGCTGATATGCCGCAGTTCCCTGAAGTCCCCTGGTAGACTCTGGTGGCTACATGTTCTAACCTAGGTCCTAGGTACAAGTTCCGGAAATGAAGGGTGACCTGTAGCAGTGGTGCAGTCAAGAACATGATGGAAGGGTGTAGAAGGATTTACTGACATAGTCCATCTCAGTAAACCAGCAATGGATAAGGACAAATTGTTTTCGTATGTTAAATATTTGATATTATGTGACAAAGTTACACGCAGGGTGGAGTCATTCAGCGTCTAGGTGCAGCATTTCCAGGGTAGTAGACCAGAGCCTTGTCGCACCGTTCTCGTCATAGGCCCATGGAGCATAGCCCGGTGCAAAATCTCCTTTACTTGGATCGTGCGGCTCAGCAATCTGGCAATTGTCTAGATACCTGCCTCCCTGGCCTTCTAGCTCTCTTGCCACGGATGCCCACACAGTCGTGGCTGCTCCTTGCTCAGGGCTCTTCCAGTATCTTGACAAGACATCGTTGTCAGCCCAGTTAGCCTTCTGTTCATCTGTGACATGGCGGAGCAGTTCTGTTTGAATCCCACCGGGGTGCAGGCTAAAGGCATGCAGCCCCTGGGACCCGTAGCGCCTCTCAATCTCGTTGGCGGCCCACACTAACGCGGTCTTGCTCTGGCCGTAGGCCTTCCACGGCTCATACTCCCCACTGAGACTGATATTGTCGAAGTGGACAGGAGAGATTCGGTGGGCGCTTGAGGCAACAATAACGACGCGAGAGGCGAAGTCAGGCGTGGAAGAAGCCAGCAAGAGGTGCCTCAGCTTGTAAAAGAGTAGGAAGTGTGCAAGGTAGTTACTTCCGAACTGTGTTTCAAATCCATCCACTGTTCGGCCCTCTGGGCATGCCATCACACCGGCATTTTCGACCAGGACATTCAATGTCGGGCTTTTCGACGTAAATTCCTCAACACAGTCCTGAACAGATGCAAGGGAGGTGAGGTCCAGATGCAGGATATGGACACGGGGACTGTCAATGATGTCACTCAAGGCTTCCTTGACTTTGTTGATATCCCGTGCAGTCAGATAGAGAGTGGCACCCGTCTTGTAGAGCGCTCGGACGGTGGGGATACCCAAGCCCGATGAGCAACCTGTGATGAGGATAACCTTTCCGGCAAACGCATTTTCAACGCCTTCGTCCTTAACAATCTCCAGCGCCGTTGGACGGGCATCTCCAGGGCCCTCGGGGCGTTCGTGTACCGCAGAATATCGTGAAGCCATTACGGTTGGGGGGTGAGTGCAAACCTTGGGTAACAACAGGCCTGAGCATGTAAAGTTTTCGGGCTAGGGAGATATATGAGATTTGGGCCTTTTTAATTGCCTAGTAACAACCTAGAAAGCACAATCATGATGTCAGGGCTTTTGAGATTGTGTCATATGGTTTCAACCGGTGTTTGGTTGTGCTTAACGTTTCGGCCGACGAGCTTGAGGCATTTATCGGCGCCGAAACGTACCGCCGATGGCTGAACCGAAGGGAGAAAAGTTTAAAGCGTCTGTTTTATGTCAGCCGTACCAGGAACTAGCGAACTAATTAATCGGGCTTGTTCTCTCTGGTTCGGCATCTGGTAAGTCCGAATAGGGAAAGCCGAACTACTTAACCTTAAACAACACGGGATATCCAAGTTCGATCCTGATCTAGATTTCCCCAGATCATCTGGAGCGCGACGAAGATGCATCGCGTACCAGTATAGAAACGAATAGTCTCTCTTGCTTTGAGAGGCCGTGTTGTAATTTAATTTTCTCTCTTTCGGCGTTTGTCGCAGCATTGAAGAAGGCACTGTGTCTTGCTGTACGTCGCCAGTATATACCAGATGGACCTTATATGTAAAGATACCGAATGACCGCGACCTTTAAACTATATCTCAGCCAGTCTGACTGAAGTTTGAGACTGGTCGGCTATTCCAACTGATTCGATTGTACAATTCCCGCTTCCTCAGGGGCAGTCGCGTATGAAACGGAATGGGCCTTAATAGCAACGCGAAAGCAAGCCTCATTGCTGATAGTAATTGTGGGCCTCTCCTTTTCTAATCTCGACCGCGCCCTGGCAGACACTTCCATGTCTGCCAACAACAATACGACCATGCCGTCTGCCCGGCCTCGTCGAGCCCGGCGTGCCCCAATGGCTTGCGCACGCTGCCATGTCCGCAAAGTTCGATGCGATGTAGCCTTTCGGGGCTCGCCATGCACGAATTGTCGTCTCGACGGGTGTGAATGTCATGAAAGGGAGCATAAAGAATCAAATACACCGCGGAGGCAACCACATCGACACCGCGCATCCTATCTCGTCCATTCCAAAGTGGAGCAAACTCGCTCTAGCGCAGATACCCGATCGATGCGAGGGAGCTTGTCCTCTATCCTATCCCACGGCCCCCGCCATGATAAATCAGAAAACGGTAGGTATTGTTGCGTCCCGCTCTGGTCGCGTTTATTAATATATTTACTGGCTAGGTATATACTCGCAGCTACCGTTTGCTTACTACGGCTTCCTCAACACATCTACTCTGCAGCGCCTGGATGAAACACATATCAGATTTCTGGAGGAAAAGGGCTGCCTGCATTTACCACCCAGAGTCGTGATGGATATCTTCCTGCAATACTACTTTTTATATGTCCATCCATGTCTCCCCATACTTGACCAGGCTCAATTTTTGTTTGATTATCGCCACCCAGAACAGTCCACATGTCAGTACTCGTTGCCTTTGTTGCAGGCGGTGCTCTGCGCGGCTGCTGCTGTAAGCGACCAGGGCTTTATTCTAGATTTTGATGCCAAAACGCTGACGATGTTCTAGTTTGTGCCGACTGATGTAGGAACGCGCTGGGGGTCGGTGTCTATTGTTTCTACTCGGAATGAACTCTACCAAAAGGCTAAGGTTCGTGTCCCCAGATGAGATGCTTCCTGGAACCAATTCTAACCTCTACCAAGCTACTCTATCATTCTGGTATGGAAAAGGACCCTTTGGTTCTTGCACAAACGGCACTGCTGCTGAGTCTTTTCGACTGTAGCATGGACGGAACTGGTAGTTCGGTCTGGTTGTCTCTGGCGATCGGGCATGCAAAGGCTATAAACGCTCACCAGTTTGGTTGTCTGACATTGGACGCCTCTGCAGACAGACATAATCTCAAGAGACTCTGGTGGTGCTGTATAGTTCGTGATCGGGCAGTCTCGTTGGGGATGCGTCGACCAATCCAAATCACTCCCGACTTAACTCCCGTAGGCGCAAATGGTGCCTTGTCACTTCAGGACCTGCAGAGGCGTCAAAACCTGTCCGAGGTTTATTCATACGAGGTGCAGTGTGAGCTACATAAGATATTCATTCGACAGTGTCACCTTGCGGTCATAGTGACAGACTTGCTTATGGTATTATATCCAGACCCCAGGGAAAGCTTACCAGAAGCGCCTAGTTCTAGCTCTGGCCCGTGGGAGCAACTAGGAAGGTTTGAATTGAGGTTGTCCCTTTGGCATACGGAATTCATAATCGCCAGTGAACATGACTTGCCTGTTAAGCATGACTCAATCGCTCTTTTGCTCTCCCTAACGTCAATATATTATCAGTAAGCTTAAGGACCACGCTGTCCAAAGAACCTAAATTTACCGATTCTTACAGAGCAACACGAATGGCTATGTGCAGCTACTCCACAAGATTGGTCTGCTGTTTGCACACTACCCCGGCGCGTGAGAATACCCTGGAGTATTATGGAAATGAGCTTCGAGACGCGGTAACTCAAGTTACTACAGAAATAAGTGACTTGATCGAAGCTGACCTGGCAATGTTTGTTCCCAATAACTTGTACGTTTCCTACCTTACTGTCTTACCGCTCATGGTCTACGATCTATTTCTGGAAACGATTTTGGGTCAGTCCACCTATACCATATCTAACATTGCTCCACAGAATGCAGTTATTCCTCCTGCCGATGATCCTATGGGGCATCAATTTAGTCCTGTCCCCCACGCCGCTCCTACTGGAGGAAAGCACGAAGAACCTCTCACTCTTTAGGGCCATGAATCATTTCTATGGCTTGCGGGTTGATGTCAGGCCCTTATCAGTTTTGGTCAAGCACACGCTTGATTTTATAAAGCCGAAGATCATCGCGAACGCTCTCGGGGCGTCCGGCGCTACACCTTCTTGCTTCTCTGACTTCTTCCGGCAGGACCCACAGAGCTACTGGGAATTGTGTCTTTACCTCGAGCGTTTATTAGCCGACAAGGTGGGCAGGGGCCGTGTAGATGATCTGTCCACTAGTACGCCGACTCAGGAACCTGAAATGGTTACTCCGATCCAGCCAAATCCATCGTGTTTGGACACACAGGCACACAGCCTTTGCGTGATTATCCCGGAAGATCCACCCGACCTCGAGCCTTGGGACATACTGAGCAATGTTGAGCAGGCCGTAACAGATATTCCCAGTCGCCAACAGCAGGGACTACAAACCGACTTCCAAATTACTCAAGATTTTAAGATATTTCATGATGCTTATCCCATTCCATATGTATAACTTACCCCATCTATGTACAGGTTTTAATTTTGGTGTCCAAAGTTTGGATCAAGAATATAATGGATTAGCTGTTGCAATCTTATAACTGTAATGTGTTCTCCAGGTCTCAACATGGCAGACTAGCCTTCAGACCAACACGATGGCCACAGCCTTTAATTTCTTGTCCTTTCTGCCATTGCTTTAGATCCGCGTCTTCCATAACAACAGCATTACCGAGCCGCCGCAGCTTAGGCAGCTCGCGATCGTCTATATGCCAATTCTCCAAAATCTAGTTCGCAAGAGTATACCCTGGAGATCTCAAGAAATATATGTAATGGTCTGGAACATCATATGTGCGTACAGGAAGACACAACAAGAGCAACAAACAACAAACAAGATTGGCCAATCTAACACCCGTAGGTATCGGCTGGTAGGGGGCATCGGTGGGCGACGGGGTGGAGTGAAGTCATTTATGAAACTGAACGAAAAGGCCACTGCATAACGCCTGGTGTTTGACCGTTAACCACCATATTACCATCAGTATAGCATCCTATAATAGGCCTTTGACCATCCTCGCTAATTACCACCGCCCGATATTGGTATTCTTTGTGGATGGTGGTACCGTATACTCTCAAGGTCACCGTCATGAGAATATAGTGACACGAATGTAATCCGATCAAAGGATTCTATGAAAGTAAAGTTCGCATAACCGACATCCTTGGCTGTGACCATCAGGTAGAATGGAGCCCTCTCTATTCCAGTGACACGCCATCAGGCTGCACTTCATCCTCACACTGCAAGCCGACTGTAGTATTAGAGCTGCTGCCAAGGAAGCTCGCTTGGCTAAAGTTTGGGCTGGATACCTGCAGATCTACAAGTTGGTCATCTAAGGGATCCGGGAACATCTGGATTAAGGCCTCCATATCAACGTCAAATACTGTGCTGCTGGAAGCAACCGGCGACGGGTCTAGACATTGCTTTTAGTTTGGACTTTTTAGCGCGCAATTACGTGGCTCACGATACTCACGCGATAGCTCAGTTATGGCGTTCACAGCCATCAGATTTCGGACTAGCTGCTCAGATCGTGTGAGGGCTGGGTTCACCGAGCTTATTTCGTTCAGCATGCTAAGTGTTGTTGTAAGCATATTATGGCTCTGGCCTCCCCGATGTAGGGCGGCATCTCTGACATGGATGGTACACGCCACATAAGCGCAGTATCCTAAGAGATAGGGGGCCTTGTACAGCGCAAAGGACTCCTTCCACCTTTCAATGATGGCTGTAATCCTGCTTGCTGCAGTCGAACATGCTCTCCAGGAATCGACCGGCGGGGACTTGGCGCGCAAGTTGCTATTGGAGACAAAAGGACGATGCAATAGAATGATGAGGGCATGGTAGGTACTATGCAGGATCATGATATTTGGAGTGACGAGCTTCTGTGCCGTGGTCTTGTCTGTAGACCATGGCTGGAAGGCCACGCAATCCGGCAGGTTGAAGTACCAGCCACAGAGCGCGTCGTCCAGTTCTTGTAGGGTTATTTGTGGTGTGGCCGGCTTAGCGCCAACTACATAGAAGTGGTTGATGATATCGGCCATGAGGTTTGACAGTAGACAGAATTGCTGGAAAGCCGATATCATGAAAGTAGGGACTGGAGGCGGCGATTGGATTGGGTAGGTACTACACTGAGGGTCTATGTAGGGGCTCCAGCACTCCAACTCCTCCATGGTATCACGGAGCTTAGTAGAGACATGAGTATCTCGTAGATGGATGGCCACCGGCCGGCCAAAGTATAGACACTGTAATTTGTCCGAGATGAAGGCTGCCCAGAATGCTCTGCGGCGGATCTCAACATCTTCCGGATACAAATCAGGAACCCGGGTGTCGAGGTGCAATCCAAGGTCGAATGCCATTCGAATGGCGAGACCCGTGTTGATCCAGCTCTTGGACATTTCACCACGAGCGACATATACTGAGCCCAGGTGTAGCAAACCTACTATTGTCGGAATTGAGGGGTTTTCCAACAGCGAATCCAGATAAAACAGTTCTTGGCACCTCCGCAGGATCGGTTGCCAGCGGTCTGGGCCAGTGAAGGGTCATCTCGCACTTCTGTGCGGCCCGAGAATTTAGAGCCGGAGGCAAATATAGCGTTCAGCAGGAATCGTGAAAAGTATGGACCCCCTGAAACCCAGTCTCGCGTGAACGCAGGCCGATATGTGAGAAGGAAACTATGATGTTGGCGATTCCAATGGACGTCTAGCAGATGCATGGCAAGGTCCGGTGGAACCCCGTCAAAGTCCGCGTGGTTTCGCAGTTCGTATTCCTTTTGGCGCTGAATCACAGCATTCGTAATGAGCAGGTTCCGCACGAACTCAGGCGGATCGCCAGGAAGCTGAGATGTTTCCAAGCTATTATGCAGGCCTGATGTAGGCCCGAAGACGCCGATGCGACCTTGATCATCCGCCGAGACGAAGGTCGAGGTTTCTAGCTCGTCATCAGATGAAACACTCTTGCATCTTTCTGTAGGTGGCTTCTGGAGACTTCTGGTGTGAGTCAGATCCTCATTCAATGTCATCTGGCCACTACCACGCCGCTCTTTCGGCCGCTCTTTGGGCCGCTCCTCCTCCGAGTGATGCAGTGGTACATTCGGCCGCGCGAGGGCCTCACGAAGTAGTAGAGCCCGTGTTTGTACATCGGCATCCTTCATTTGGATCAAGGTTGTCTTGAACCATGCGACCTGTGCCTCCAGCATCCGGATGGTCGTTGCAGATGGCCTAGACGCAGTAAGACGGGGCTTGCATATAGACACACACACACGCGCAGAGAGAGAGGGATGGAGAGAGAGGAGTCTGACCTTGGCCGCGGAATAATACGTGTGTAAACACAGTCCCGCTTGTGAGTTTTGCATGCCCCACAGGACGGTGTTTCCTTGTTACATTTTACCTACGGCGAATACATTAGGAGGTGACTTGTGGGTGTGGTAGGATCAGATTGACTCTGGCACCTTTCTTCCCCGGCAATTATCACAGGCGCGTGTTTCACGCCTTGGACCTTGAAAACTCATCTGGGGCTGTTCGAATGCAAGGATGCCGTGGAACGGACAGTATGTGTCCGAGGAGTTGACGGCAGACGGAGTATTTGAGCCCGGAACCAGTGTGTGGAGTGCCGATCGAAAGAGGCAATCGCCTACTTTTTGTGCCGATTGTAAGAATTGGCTTGGCCTGTTGCTCTCCCCAGCAGGGCTCCATGCTGTTCGGAATAGCACTGTGGGGTATGCGGCCGATGGCAAGTTAGATCGGCAATGTGTATATCCTCCACCTTGGGCCATTGATAGTTGACTGCATGGCTGTGGCATTTTAGGTCATAGCACGTGAGTCTTTCTACTCCTAGTTCATTGTGACAGTGCTAATTGCTCTATTCGCAGCGTGTTCCTGTGTATCCCTTGTCCAATATCCACAAGAATGGACGCACCACCATCACCGTTGCGGTCTCTCGTAGCAGGCTGCCTGGCGGGTGCTATGGAAATAGGTGGGATTGACCCTTCATCATCCAACACAGTTCATTCGATACCCATGCCTCCCTGGTTATCGCAATCCACCATAACCCGTTCTCACTGACACAAAATTACCAGCTATAACTTACCCAGCCGAGTGTAAGTGCCTAGCTCTAAAGCGTTGCGAGCCAATCCACTTAAATTCATGCTGATGCTGACAGGACGACAGTTGCCAAGACCCACTCACAGTTGAATCGGAGACTTGGGGAATCAGCAAAGCTGCCTTGGCCTCCTTTTGGTCGCGAGTGGTATACTGGCTGCACAAGTGCGATTATCGGTAACGCTGCCAAGGTTGCTATCAGTAAGTCTAGTGGAAGCCAGACAGTTAACTAGACTAACTGAGCCCTTTTGGCTAAGGGTTTACGGCGTACGAGCGCATGAAGTATCTGCTACAGGATGAGAAGGGGCAGCTCACTCCGATAAAAGTGTCCATTGCCGGCCTTGGAGCTGGGTTGATCGAAAGTGTGCTAGCAGTAACCCCATCAGAAAGTATAAAAACTTCTCTGTATGTCAGTAGAATACCTCAACTCTGGCTTGTGCTGATTATATATAGGATCGACGACCGGAAATCGGCCCGGCCGCGTATGAACGGGTTGGTGCATGGAGTGGGTGTCATCTACCGTGAAAGAGGCATCGCTGGCTTCATGCAGGGACTCGTACCAACCACTGCGAAACAAGCCGCAAATTCGGCTACTAGATTCACTGCGTACTCGACCATTCGCGACTTGTGGCAGAGGCAATTGCCCCCCGGCCAGAAGGTGGATACAGTTGCGACCTTGACTATTGGGGCATTGGCGGGTCTAATCACTGTCTATGTCACCCAACCCATCGACACTATCAAGACCAGAATGCAAAGTATTGAGGCTCGGGGGGCCTATAAGAACAGCTTCGACGCCGCGGCCAAAGTTGTGATGAATGAAGGCTTCGTCCAGCTTTGGTCCGGCGCGGTACCGAGGCTAGCAAGACTTACGGTACGTGTGTCTTCACCCCAGGAGTATTTCCATTGCTAGTCATGGCTGTAATAGAACGTGACAGCCACTGGGTATAAAGTCGGTGCTCTAACGCTATAGTTCACAGGTCAGCGGAGGAGTAGTGTTTACAGCCTATGAAAAGATCATCGAATTCTTCGGCTGGCTGGATCCGCAGAGCCAATGGATCTAGATCCATAATACACCTGGAGACACATGATGCTAATATAATATGACTGACGTTATTAGCAACGGAATGTGCTTCTGCTCAGCGGGACTTGGCTTTCAAGTCAACCTTTCCTGACGCATCACACTTGCTATTCGACCTGTCAGGGAACTCCAGGGTCTGGAACGATCCCAAATCCTCAAGTATGTACTAACTAATTCCATTTCCATGAGCTCTGTACATACTGTATTTGACTATGAAATATAATCCAGGTTGTGGGTCGGCAATCCATATTAGTTTCTGCCTTGAGGTTCGGCTATCCCAGATAGGAAATCGGCAAGAAGATTAAATAGCCGGCAGCAGCAATAATTGGCCCAGATCAGCACTAGTTTTGTGTATACCGGAATTATTCTAGATGCCCTAACCCGAGCAGATAATTAACCTGAGTAGCTTCTGTGGCCGTCAACCTCTATTAAAGTCCTGTCTAGTGCGTGGAACTCCTCGCTTTACATTTTAAAATCTGCTTTACCATTCAAGACAATCGAGGCCACTCCTAGCAGGCAGCACGACTAGCTTTTGCTTAGAAACCTCGAACTTCTATGACCGAAGTTTGTAACCAGAAACACGTTCAAAGGTATTACCCCTATGACCCGCTTCTGAACCCGGTGCTAACAGCATTGCTCCTATTTAGTCATTCTCTCCCGGTCTACCACAGTATCGCCATTATGACTCAATATCAATCCGAGTTTTTAGTGAGCATTCCCGACCGCCCCGGGGTACTCCCAGTTCGCATGTCCCTTCGTCCTAGGCACCTGGCGAAGTTGGGTCCTCGTGTCGAAGCTGGACAAGTGGTGTTTGGTGGCGCTATGCTCTCTCGTGAACCAGCCAAAGGCGAGGGCCCAAATGTAACTGGAAGTGTGATGCTCATCAAGGCCAACAGCGAAGATGAAGTTCGCCAGATCATTCTGGATGATGCATATGCAGCGGATGTCTGGGACTTGAGCAAGGTCACAATAACGCCATTCAAGTGTGCTGTGCGTACGGCAATTTGAAGGAAACATAGTGACGTGTCTTAAGGTAATTCTATCTTCGGATGGAGGGATACAGATCCGAATACAGCTAGAGACATCAAAACTGTTATGGAGGCTGCGTTGCTGTTGTCTTGTGTCGTCAACTTCAATATGTAGGCTAGAATTGACCCTGTTTAATGGCCCAGCGTGGTTCCTTTCCTTGAGAACAGTTCAAAGTTAATACCGATTGAGGACTGTATACATAACGATCTGAGCAGCATCCAGCTGGACGCCATCACCTTACCACATACTGCTCCCCGTCATAAATGCGGACACAAATACAGGCCAATAGCCAAAGCCTGTCTACATGTCATCCCCACGACCATGGTAGATTCAGAGCATTCATTAATATTGCTTGACGAGGGTAGACTTTCGACGAGTGGGATGACGTGGTTGAGCGTTACCATCCCCTATGTCGAGTCCATTCGTCTTGGTAAAGTACTCTGGTACGATTCAGCTTCTCGACATTCTTCGAAGGGCAGAGAGGCATTAGGCACACACGCATCCGGACAGAAAGAAAGAGATAAACGTTAGAGCTATCGGATTTTTCCTCGCCGCTATTGATTGAGAATACACATTCATTGATCACGCCAAGATCCCGATTATCCTACTTGTACACCTAGCATCACTACAGCAAGACATTCACGCTCTTTATCTCTGTGAATGACAATAGTTCCTCCAGGCACTCCTCCTTTCCTACTCCAGATTGCTTCGCTCCTCCGAACGGGACACCGATAAAGTGTTTAGACACCTGATTAATCCAAATATAGCCGGCCTCGATATGTCTTACGATTCTCGTCGCCCTCGAGATATCACGGGTAAAGACAGAAGCTGTAAGACCATAAGCGGTATCGTTAACTGTTTTGATAAGTTCCTCTTCATCAGACCATTTGAAGATAGACATGATGGGTCCGAAGATCTCTTCTTTGGCGATACGCATATGTGGCTGAACGTCGGCGTACACGGTCGGTTCGACCCAGTAACCAAGCTCCATACCGGGAAGATGTTTTGGGATCTTGCCTCCTGTGATGAGGCGCGCGCCCTCCGCATCCGCCGAGAGAATATATGACAGAACCCGCTCCTGTGCCGCTTTGTTAATGAGAGGGCCCATAGTGGTGGACATATCTGTCGGAACACCTGGTTTGAACTCTCTTTCGATGAATGATTTGACCTTTTCTATGACCGTTTCATAATGCGATTCGTGCAAGAAGACACGGGAGGTCGAGCCACAAGACTGCCCTGCCCAAGTGTAGTTCATCCCCCGCGCAACACCTTCGGCCAGGGCATCCACGTCGGCATCTGGAAATGCTAGCAGCGCGTTCTTGCCCCCAAGCTCCAGGAGGGTTGGCTTCAGCGTGGCTGCGGCAGCCTGCTGGATGGCTCGACCGGTCGGGACGCTTCCGATCAAAGTAATCTTCTTCACCAGTGGGTGCGTCGTCAAGGCCTTCCCACACTCGATCTGGCCAGGCAGGATATTTAATACACCGGGGGGGAATACAGGGCCCAGGATCTCGGCCAGACGGAGGCACGATAGGGGCGCCTGATCTGGGGTCTTAACTACCACCGTGTTGCCTGCAGCCAGCGGGGCTGCTATTTTCGAGCCCGTGAATTGAATGGGATGGTTGAATGCCATGATGCGTCCCACGACGCCCAATGGCTCCCGCACGGTGTAGTGGAAGGTATCGTCCGATTGTGGGATGGTCTCGCCTTTCAGCATCGGGATTAATCCTGCGAAATAGTCGAGTGACGTAGCGGCGACTTTCGCATCACTCAGCATCTTTCCCAGTGGGTTCCCGGTGTTCAAGGAATCAATCCATGCAAGCTCATCGGCATGTTCACGGAGTAAGTCCGCGGCGCGGCGCAGGCACCGGGCTCTTTCGACTGGAGGCGTCGTCCGCCAGCTCAGGAACGCTTGATGTGCCGCATTTACAGCCTCGTCCACATCAGCCGCGGAGGCAACAGCCACTTTAGTAATGGGTTGGCCACACGCTGGGT